AAGGACTTTCAGAAGTTTGAATTCTGAATGGGAGCATTAAATCTCATGGATTTTTTTCTTATTATTATTTTATTTTATTCTTTGCTTCTATGTCGTCCACAATGTTTGATTCATTTAACCGAGGAAACATGTTGTTAGACTTGCGATCGTGTTGAAACCCAAGGTTATGTGCTGATCTTCACTGCATGAATGAGAAGCGTCGTGACTGAAACTGTGACGCTCTGGTGTTCATGGTGATGCTCTCATTCTTTACCTCACAGCAAACCCTCTGCTATTTACCTCCAGACACAGAGACGAAGACTAACCACCGACATCGATCAGGGATTTTTACCCAAAGAGAAAAGCAAACAATTAAAATGATTGGTTGAGACAAGACTACATTGATTTGTATGAACTCTGACCACACAGACATTAAATTTCTTTCCTATTGGAGCCCATTAATCCAGCTGCGTATGTAAAGACTCCAAGAATTTAATTTCTTTTCAAAATTCAATCAAGAGTTTTCCTAAAATAAAAAAGGGTTTTACTGTTCAACACTTCCTATGAAGGCCTACTGGTAAATTCATAGTTTAAATAAAGTCTGTGTGATATGGCTAGAATATGTATCACAAAACAAAAGTATTTTGTACCAGTATATTAATTATTGATTCAAGTTTTTTTTACCTATTTGAAATAAAGGGAAGGGGTTAAAAAGCGCAAGTTAAACTATAACCCTAACCATATTTAAACATGACCTTTAACCTCTAAGACCAACACTTCCAACCTTGCTTAGTTTGGCTCTAAGAGGTTGAGATGCTGAATACGTCTCTGCCTGCATCCCCCAGAAAACCACCTGGTTCTGGATCAAAGTTTAACGGAAGAATTCAGTGTTTTATTGCATGTGTGCATCATGACGTATCTTGATATAAATCTATAATCCAGCCCTAGCTTAAATGAATTCATCCCCAACATGCTGCAATGCATATTTCCGCCCAAACTGCAAAGAAAGATGCTTCACAATAAATACATAACACTTAAGTTTTGTCTTCCTGTAAATCTGAGCCTGCAGTATTTATGGCGTAAAATCTTTTTGAGTCCGATTCAGGAGAGGCTTCAACACTAGTGCTATCTGCTACGAAACACAGGTGGTACTGGTTTATCAGCAGCGATGCAATGATAAATCTGTGCAACCTCATGCTACGCTATGCATTTGCTCTGTCTGCACTGATGAAGTTTCACTCGTTTGAGCTGGCTATAGGCCTGCTACACCCAGCTAATTGAAAATCTGAGTGTGAATACGGGGAATGGCAGCCTAGTGGTTAGCATAGAGCTTAGAATCCAGAGGTTCTGAGTTTAAGCCCCACTTCCACGGTCTGCCACTCTGGGTTCCTGAGCAAGACCCTTAAATGGTAAATGGCATGTACTTATATAGCGCCTATATTCAAGTCAGAAGACTTGACCAAAGCGCTTTACACTACATTCATTCACCCATTCACCCATTCACGCACACACTGATGGTGGCAAGCTACATTGTAGCCACAGCTGCCCTGGGGCTCACTGACAGAAGCGGGGCTGCCGTACACTGGCACCACCGGGCCCTCTGACCACCATCAGTAGACGATGCAGGTGAAATGTCTTTGCCAAGGACACAACGATACTGAAAGCCAGAGCCGGGGCTTGAACCATCAATCCTTCAATTTCAGGGCAAACTGTCACTGCCACTGTCTAAAAGTCCATCTTTGGTACCATTAAATTCAAGCACTTTCCAGAACTAGTTTCCTCAAAGAACTAGTTTCCATGCATGTTAGCATTTACTTCTAGTACATTAAATATCAAACCTAAATAAACCCCAAAACTTACAATGACTTTCAAGGATGGATGTTGTTTTATGGTCGTTTTCAAAATCTTTCAAGGCCTCGACATTAAATATTTGAAATTCAGAAACTTTCTGGGATTTTTAGGGACTTATGGGAATGAAGTAATTTCATTCAAATTTATATCGTGTGTTAGATCCTTTAGACATTGGATGATTTCCATGCCTTTAGTTTTGTTAGTTTTGATGATTAGCGCCAGCATTAGTAAAGGAGGCCATACACTGTAGGATATTTTCAATGGTTTCATGCAGCAACAGCTCAAACTGTACATCAGTGGTCCTCAACGTTTTCCAGGCCTCCTACATCCAACGCCACTGTCGCCCCTTAACCCGACCCTGCTCCCCCAGGCACAACGGCAGCTTACCGCTCCCCAAGGGGATGGGTTAAATGCAGAGAGTGAATTTCGTTGTGCTGTACTCGTGACGGTGTAATGACAATAAAACGCTGGAAAGGAAATGAAAAGTAAAGAGAAACAGAGAGCGATCCAAAGTTCGACGTAGCCGTGATATGGCCAGAAAACGACCATGTAGCAGCGGTAGAGAAAAGAAACAACTACATGCCATGGCCAATCCCCCCATTTTGTTGCTCTAACCACAGCTACCAACTTTCAAATTGTCCTTACTCTGTTGAATTTGGCAATCAGTAATAAAAAAGGTTGTCTGTATTTAAAGTGCCTTGTGTAGCCAACCCTGCACTGGTTTTTATTGTCCATCTTCAGTTTTCGGTTTGTTTTTCCTCCAGCTAAAACTGTGACGCAACGTAAACAGAAAAATGGTCAATATGCTGAGGGAAGCTTAACTGGCCTCAGACAGAGCTGTGGTTTTTTTCATTAAGGTATCAGTTTAATATCTAATAGATTTTCTAACCAAACCACTCACTGAATTCATTTGTTTTGAGACCTTAAAAACACAAGCTTCTTTTTGGTGGGGCAGTTTGTCTTGTCACCAGTGTCGTCCTCTCTCAAACTATTCAACCACAGATCAATTGAACAAAGTGCTTGTTGGAGGTTAATTAGCTTTTGTTTGATCTGCAGGATGTTCCACGCTTCATTTAAGCCTGCAGATCAACATTCCTTCCATCTGAGATCCTTTCATTTAGGCACTAAAGAGGAAAGGAGATTAAAAGTGCAGCTCTCTATCTATTTACTCTAACTTTATCATCTCCATCTGATCTCAAACCAGGCACACCACCAGGAATTTGAAATACATTGATGACAAAAAAAATTATGTAAGCTTTTAAACTATTTTATGCATTGATTTGTTTCATTCATTATCACTATTCAAAATAATGCGCACGTGAAACTTAAGCCCCGGCACGAGTAAACTGCCGGTGACAGACGGGGAGACCTGATGCGATGCAGGACGGGGGTTTTGATCAATATATTCATGCTTTGTTTCGCTGTTTACTGCTTAAAAATGAGGGAGAAAAATTACTTGTACAAAAATAACTTATTTCGCTGCTGTACAGCGCAGACAGTACAGCGGGACAAATTTAATTCAGTTTA